CGACGTATAAAAGTAGCTTCTTCTTCTTCTTCCCTTTCGGTGTTGACCCATCGACTCCTTCGCTTTTAAGTTTCAGGTAAACCAATTAACCTAACCTTATCCTCTCTTTTTTATTTTCTTGCTTACGTAATATTATTGGGTTATGTAATCGAGCTAGCCAAGTTGAGATCCCTTTGTTGATAAATGATAATGTTGTTTATAACCATTTTATTTTTGTTTTTGTTAACAGAATATGTAAAAGGTGGGAGGAACAGATAAGTCATGGGGCTTACTTATAAAACCTAATGACCATTTTCTATGTAAGCCAACTCTGATGAATTGGCAGTTGTTACCTTTAATTATGAGATTAGTTAGAGAGATTTGTGAATAATATATTTTGTATTATCGACACCTAGATATGATCAAAGATCATATCAATGAGAAAAGAAGCCTAAGGCATCTTTTTATTTTTGTCTCCGCTTTGTATATGTTTGTAACTCTTTGGTTTTAATATGTGTTTATTGTAATTGTGAGTGAGCATAAGTAGTTATGTGTTATGTCCGCGTGACTGTCTTTATACGTCACCAAATTTTCTATAGAGAATCGTAAAGCAAACTTTTTACGATTTATATATACTTCAAGTTATATTCTAGATATCCCCATTATTCAAAGATATCATCAATCTATTTAATAAGTGAATAAGAAAGTCTTTGTGAAATTTCAAGCACTTCTCTTCAAGTTCACTGATTTTTATGAATCCTTAACGTGTTTCTAACTTTCAAATTGCAAAGTCTAAGAAAAGACCGTGTCATATATGTAAAACCAACCTTACCAATTTGGTTACATTTATTCGAACCAAGCATCGATTTAAAGCTTCAGTCCCAATTAGTCAGTTATAACTTTCATTCTTTTAAAAATCTTCACAATTCGACCTTGTATGAAAATGGAATAAATCAAACCAAAACCTAATCTATCTTTTGAAAACCTTTCAAAGTAAGGTGTTTATATGAAAATCGAAGTTGACAACAAAACAAACCAAAACCTATATATGTTTTCTACCAAACTAAATTGTATGATAAACGATTTGTTATATAAATAACGCAAAGAAGAAGAAAAAAATCATATTACAACTCTGAATAAAATCCACCAAAAGTAGGACTAACATATCGGACAGTATTTAAGGGACTTTAATTTAAGAAGTTTTGGTATAAATCTATGTAAACTTTTTTATGGTCAACCAAAAGCCTTTATTCAATTAAAGAATTACAACTTCCAAAACATGCAAATTAAAGCATATCCGCTTCGCAATTCTGCGATTTTGGGATAAAATCAAAGGGAATGGTAGGGAAACTGCTACTACATAAGTCCCTAATAACACATAAGATTGGCTGGATCAGATTGTGAGTCTTAGAGGACTGAACTAATTGGATCAATTGTAAAGAATCCGAGAAGCAATTAAGTTCCTCACACCCCTGGCCACGTGCAAATTCCATGCCCATCTTCAAACCCAGGCCGCAGCCAAAACAGATAATGAAGCTAGGCAAGTTGAGATCCCTTTTGCTGATTAATGATAATGTTGATTATAATCATTTTATTTTTGTTTTTGTAAACATAAAGATCCAAAGGATAGTCTGTAAAAGGTGGGAGGAACAGATAAGTAATGGGGCTTACTTATAAAACCTAATGACCATTTTTTATGTAAGCCAACTCTGATGAATTGGCAGTTGTTAGCTTTAATTATGAGACTAGTTAGGGAGATTTGTAGATATTATCAATCTAAATATGATCAGAATATCATGAATGAGAAAAGAAGCCCAAGGCATCTTTTTATAGTTCTATCCCCTTTGTATATGTTTGCAATTGCGATCAAATTACGGAAAACGACTAAAAATGCGTGAAAGTAAATCCATTGTAATTGCAATCATGTTTTAAGGTATATTCTAACATACTAGATTTTAATTCACGCCAAACGTGGGATTAAATATTTAAACATATTTTTAATCGATTTAATATTTAGACGTGTATTCTAATATTTTTAAACGTACAAAATGATATGTATTGTGTCTAAATGTAATAAAATTAAATGTTTACTAAACATATTATTCAATGTCATACGGTTTGATCAATTTTGCATAAAAATATTAAAACTAATGCAAATGTTATTTATTTCAATTTATTTGAAGTGTCAAATTGAGTTTTATTATTTGTGTAAAATTGTAGAGTACGCAATAAATCAAATAATTTTTAGATTTATATGAATATTTCGGACGTAACAAACAAAAAATATATGTTTTCTAATAATAAAATGTAAAAATATTTATAAGTGTAGTTATCATCTACAAATAAATAATATTGTTAGAAATATAATAATAAAAAGCTTTTTAATATATATATATATATATATACTTTTTTAAATAGATGATATAGTAAGTCTAAATATTAAATTTAGTTAAACCTAATTCTGTAAAATATATATTAATGGATTTATGTTATAAAATTAATAAAACATATAGAGATTCCACCTAGGCATATAGTTTAATTAAAATGTTTTTATTACTTAATTTAAATGACATATTTCTTAAAACCCTTATTGAATAATACATATAATTTTTTCACCAATTGTCTATTCAATTAATATATAGCGAATTAGTGGCATTTTAATGAAAATTTCAAAATGATGACATTTTTGAAAAGTGGCATTTCTAAAAAAAATTTCTACATTTTATCTAAGTAACATACAAATTAAATTTTGTAAGATAAAATATATTTATATATACTGGAGATATATCTTTGTTATTTTTAATTTCTTCCATATATTAAAAAAGTCATGATTTTTTTTGAATATTCTAACGCATGTCAAAAAAATCTAATAGTCATTGAGAAAAAAAAATATTCTCACATATACTCTATATTCTTTAAATAAAATATTCCATATTAATTATCACATATACTCTATATTCTTTAAATACTTCCATATGTGTTTAATAGTTATATATTGTATATATGATATAAATTTAGTCTAATTATTTATACAATAATGTCATTAAGAAATTTTAATAACTTTCATTAAAAGTTTCTTAAAATCCTCTTTAGATGATACTTAGGATTTTCACATATTGTCTCATCTATTAATATATAGAGAATTTGTTTCATTTTTTTTGGTCAAAGAGAGGATTTGTTTCATAAACTCTACATTTTATATAAAAAAATTGGAG